CCAACATTGAGGCACAGCAACAAACGTACATGAAAAACGAAAAGAGTTTAAAAATGTATTTAATTTTATTCATTTCAGCTTTAACCACAAAAGTGTTACTCCCTCGAACGCCGAGGCTAAAATGAAAATAACACAAAAAATAACAACAAAAATGAAAATAATGAATACACACGGCATAAAGGCACAAATTCCAGTGGCATTTGCGGTGTAGCTTTGAGGGAGTTACTGGCCCAAAGGCCAAGTAGTGTACGCCAATCGGTACGCCTGAAGCCAAATATGTTTTGGTGAAGCAATTAAACCGATTTAATTTGTGGTTGCGTGAATGTGTGAAATAAGTTATTAAAAAATAAAATTCTCTTTTATTCCATACACTTTTTATTCTACGATAAACACACAATGTTCCTAATGATATCGTTAAGTGAAAACCTCAGCACTATGAACATTTTATTATTACTTTGAAGCAATTAAGTGTTTTTTTCCTTATGATTGATAAGTACAATACATAATTACTATAATTGATTTTACAACAGTTGTTGGTGTTGTTTTTATTGTTCTGAATAACTTCATAAACAAACCGTAAAATTCGACTTACTAAGATTTCAATATAAACCATACTTTTAATGTTAATATTACAATGTACATTTGTATAAAATTCCAAGTGATCCACTTTCTCAACATACTAGTGGTCAGTTTTATCATGCAAACTAACGGATCGATTTCACACTAAATTGTCATTAATGATAAGGAACATCTAAGAGTTACTTATCAAAGAGCTGATATAAGATACAAACAACAAAATTTGCAAGCAAAATCAAATCGAAATCTTGAGAATTTGGTGGTCTAAAAGTTTAACAAAAATGATATAACATTTATCAACGACTATGAGTAAACGGCTATATACATCTAACAATTTGACTGTACCCAACAATGGTTGACAATAGAGAAATATTTAATTTTATACTAAAACAGCTCGTAGATCAGAATTTTAACCATTCATTATAATCACGGTTGCCACTTATGGTACTTAAGTACCAAAATTGGTACTTAAGTACCAAAATTGGTACTTTTTTTTTCGTTTGGTACTCATATTCAAAAAATGGTACATTTTTGACGACCCAACTTTATTGTGGATATTTCCAATTCATTTTTTTTATAAATGCAACTTTGCACTATTTTATATTTTATTCATTTATAACACTATGAAAAACACAGAACGAAAATACAAAAAAGTCCAAAAAAACTAGGGACTTTTTTTACAGAAATGGTGCCTTTTCAAACCAATTTTGGTACAGGAAAAAATTTTCAAGTGGCAACCGTGATTATAATATAATAAACATATTTTAACATAATTCAAACAAAAAGCATTTGATCTAGTATCTACATGTAAAATCAGCCGCTTTAAAACTGATCGTTTTTACTTAAATCCGTCCTTGTGTGAGCCTTCATTCTAGCGGCTACATTTTCTTCTAAACATTTTATTCGATATATATTTAAAGTTATATCAAATAGTTCGCTTAATAAAAACTACATAAAACAATTTTAAACACTCTGCTTTTATACCATCTATAAAGATCTATGCGCAACCTTTTGGCACCACTTTGACTTTAGTGCATATTAAAAGTAATATATTAAACCCAGACAATCTTCAAAAATAAAGGCACCATATACGACTAAGGATATATTTATAATATTGTTACAAACAGGCGTAGTAAGAATTATAAATTTTGTTAATTACTTATTTTTACTTCTTAATAATACGAATCATCATTTTACTTTGCTTTTATTATTTCAATCGTCTTACAAATGTTAATTAAGTCAATAAAGTTTTTAGTGCAGTTAGATTAGATGCATACAAGAAGCGATGTCTTTATCTGCACCACTTTAATTTATCACTATATTACCCAAATAAATCATGGATTCGACAAATTCGATCTGAATGGATCTAAGGATGCACCCTAGCTGCTGCACATAATCTTTGTGTTTGATGTATTAATCTCAAGACCAGCGTTACACGAATAAGTGCTGATTCTATTGATGTTATTTTGAAGATCGGTGTATCTGTGGCTTTATAAACTTTGGTTATCAGCATATTCAACATCTTCGAGTTGAATGAACGTGTAACTTAACTCAGAGTTACTCAATATCTATGGATATTGATATTGCCTAGTTCAGAATATAGACGAAGAAAGAAATATTAAAAAATAAAGACTTATTTAAAACATTTTCTGTTTGCGTGGCCAGTACCATTTACATGGACATGATAGATGCATTTCTGACAAACTTGCAAATTAGTGAACAGAGAGATAAGTGAAACCAAATCGGAATAAATTTTCATCACCTTTATGAAAATTTTCACATATCGGCATAAAGAAGCGACTTTTTCAAACTTTTTTGAATTAACGAATCAATCCCAGTAGGTGTCTGATCTAAAAATGATATTTTGGGGGTGTCATTTACAGAATAAAAAAACAACTTCAATTTCAAGCAACTTTCAAGGTTTTTAAGAATATTTTCAAACTATTTTCAATAACATATTACTGTTTTTTTATTATTAAGTACGACCACAGTAATATACATAATATGACATATATGCATGTATGTATATATGTATATACTTGTATAATCACTAATATTATATATATTATATCTGTCCTCTCTCCCCTGATTACTGGGATGAAGTTTTCACAATGCTGTGAAAATCTTCTTCATTCATTCCTAAGAGGTGGTTTAGTGGGTTCAAGTCTCACTCACTGATATTATTATGAAAATATCGATGTATTTTACTCTATCCTGAAAGTGTAATATAATTTCGTATTAAATATTTTCTTTTTTTTCATAAATGCTTCACCTTTAGTACAACCAATGTATTTATATATTTAATAAAATGATTCAAAATTAATATGACACTCAACTGACAAACTCTTTAAATTTTATTTTTTTTCGCATTTGAAATTTCAATTTTAATTCAAGTCTCATTCAAAATCTGAACTTCCATTGTCATTTCAAATATTTTTTTTCGACTTCAGACCCTTAAGTTTTATTTGCTGATTACCTCCTTCTGTCAACTGTCAACTTGCACACTGCTACCTTTCATACGCATTTTAACACGAATGAGTTTAATTCAAGATTTCAAAAAAAAATCTGAAGTTTTGAAAGTGTTAAAAATGAAAGTAAGACAAATTTTTTGACAGTTTTATGGAATCGAGTTTGACTTATATTTAAGAAGAACATGACATCTCACTGTTACTACAAACTTAAATTTTGGATAAAATCTAAAATAATCGAAATGCTTATAAATGGCAGAACTTTAAAATTAATTTTAAAGCTTTTTGTCCGCATATGGATGAAATAATAATATAATAAATTATTAAAAATTAAAATAATTTGCAAAGGTGGTCTATCGTCTCTTAATTGTAAGTTAAATATTATAAATATCGTTTAGGTCCAGTCTCCCAGCACCATATCATGTTCGAACATATTTGAGTAGCTCGCTCTACTCATGCCAAATGCTTGAACACAGGCATACTCGAATATTAAAATGCTTGAAGATCCGAACAGCCAAAATAAGTTTAAGATCTATCGTAACATTCCAAATTTTTAAATCATGTGACAATTATCAGAGAATAGAACACTCACTATAACTAATTTCTTTTATATTATATTATTAACATTCAATAATATATTATTCAATATTTTAAGTTATGTTTTGGTCAATAAGTCTATCGGAAAGGAATAAATGGGTAATCTTTAAACGTATTGTGGCTAATTAATTTGGCCACCCTAGCATCAGCGTTGAATAAATTACTTAATATCTGCCCAGCAAATACAATAATACCATATGTATTAGTACGAACACAAAACAATGCAAGTTAAAAGTTAGTCAAAGTATGTAGACTAGGAACTAAAGAGAAAAAAAAAAATATTTTTAATTGTTGTCTGAGAACCAAATTGAGAATATAATAGAACTTAAAGTAACAAAGAAATGTGGTCACATGTAAACTTACAAATTTTATGGTTCAATTATATACTATGTAAATTGTATGACAACATCCCTTATGCTATTTTGACATAGATCTCTCAGAAGTAATGCTGATTTTTTGTGCTTCTTACCGAGCCTAATCCTGTCCTCTCTCAATCTTACGTTAAAATGTTTTCCTGACCAGTTATAATGAAAAAAGACGATTTAAAATGAAACTGAAAAATTTATTAACAAGTTAAGATCAGTATAACCAAGTAGAAATAGTTGGAAATAGTTGGCAAATACTATAAGATTATGATAGAAGTGTCCTGTAACGAAGGTTGACAAACAATGCTTTAGCATTTATTTTTCCATTTCTTGGATGTTCACATAATTATATGTGTTAATTTTTCTTAATTATCTCTCTCTTTCTCTGTCTCTCTTTTTATATTTCTCCTTTTTTCTCCTCTTTATCGATAATTTAATTTTTTTTTTCTATTATTACTTTCTCTTACCTTTCAGTAAATTAGTTAGTTTAGTTTAATGGTAAATATTACAATAGCCGTAATTTTTTCTTTCAGAGTTGTAGAAAAACAACATTAAGTCTGGTTGAAGCAGATTGGCATCACTTTTAAAATATGTCAAAATTTTTTTTGTTGTGTTGTGTAAAATATGAAATATAAATATTGCAAACATTGAAATTAATTAATATAAATAAAAGAAAACAAAATTAATAATAGAAGAGCAAGAGTAAGCAATTTTTATCTTATTCTTTTGATAAGTCATTATTTCTGCAACATATTTCCAGTCACAATAGATTGATTTTTGTATTTGACTGCACTAAAACTTAAGACGCAACATTTTTTGTGACTAAAACCTAACTCTGACTCACATGTTTTCCTTTGTAAGTTGCAAGTATTCTTTTGCTACTCTGAAAGAAAAAATTTTGGCTAATATACATAAAATAAATTACAACCCTGTTTAAACATTAATCGAAAAAAATAAATAAAAACATCGAAAAATAATTATTTTTTAACAATTTTATTCAATTTAATTTATGCAAATTTTAAGACTACAACAATTTTTTATACAATCACACTACAACTTAATGATATCAATAAATGGTTTAAGTGTATTAATTATTTTATTAGGAATATTTTAAATATTTTACAATTAAATTCTCCTTAAGAGACTAGAAATACATATATAAAAGATTTTTTATATAAAATATACTTAAAGGAAGCACATTTTAAATACAATAAACGGAAGTGGTTAATATGGAAGCTCATTATATGTATAAAAATTGCAAAAAAATGTATTGTATATAATTTAAACAATTTATTAAAACACAGGACAGAAGTATTTTTTTTTATTTAAAGGCAAGCATAAAATTTAAGATACAATAATAAGGGACATTTATTTACTTTTAGGATTTATGTTTCGCTAATATTTACAATAGTATAATTTTTAACTAAAATTACATCACAGTTCTGAGATTTTATTAGTTTTCAACTAAATCAACAACATTTTGAGTTTTTTTGCTGCTACAACAATAATTTACTTAATTCTTGCAACCATCTGCATATTAAACTACGATCAATTTTTGACTAACAACAAATTGATTTTAAGCATTTAGTTTAAGGGATCATCTTGGTGGACAGAAACTAAAATATGGAAACAATTGACAGTGCAATGAATAAAATCGTTTTGGATCTGTTTTTAAATCAAATCCATCAACTTTTATGACATTCCATTGATTTTTCATATGTGCGTAACTGAAAGAAACTTGATCTTGAAATGTTTCTGGACGTATAAACTCCATAGGTTCCAAATGTGAATGGAAATTATCGACGACAGTTAATGGCACCTTCAATAAATGTTCTGCAAGAAAAGAATCGAAAAAGAAATGTAATAATTTTTAATTATCACTATCTCTAATGAGTTCTAGCTGTGTAAAGTAACGTACCAATTATGAAACCCATTGTCACGTCATCTGGAAACCGTATTTTGTCCCCAATACTAATAAATTTACCACCACCAGCAATTGGTAGCATCTTAAGAGTTAGAGCACGACTGAGGCAAAAGCCAGCACCGCCTGTTGCAAACCAAAAGGTTATCTTCTTGTTGGTCGATTGGTTCTTCTGGAAAAATAAAAAATAAATAAAACAGGAATAAAAAATAAAATAAAAATAAAATAAAGTTATAAAATTTTAAATAACTAAAGTTTAAAAAGATTAATTGAGCATTAAAATTAACAAAATATAAAGAAACTCATTAAACCGTAAGGTAATTTTATATCCTTTCTTTTTTTTCACTACGTGTAACCTAAAACCTATAAAAATAAATATTGCAATTTTAAGTAATTAGCAATCATTTTCTTTTTATTTTTTGTGTTTTAAGCTTAAAAAGAAATGAAAATAAATTTTTTTTAATATTAAGTTAAAGACTCTTAATGATTATAACTGGGAAATGCAGCTGGTCTCATGTTACGGATGCACATAAGAAATACGTTTAAATATATTTTAAAATTTACAAACTTCTTTGACTTGATTGCCGACTTTTTTATGCAAAAAACGTATTTTTACTATATTTTACACCAAATCTCATAATATATAAAATCCGTTACAAGCATTATTTCTGCTGTCTCTAAATGCAAAATTCCAATACATTTATTAAATCTATCGTGTTCATTCATTTATTTATTCATCTATTATAGTTAACTATATAATTTTCACGAAACAGATATCTATGAAATACCGCTTTTCGGAAACTATAGTCGGTCTTTAAGCTCTTTAAATAGATCATATCAATAATTAATGTGTCAGGCTCAGCGTTAAGTCTTTGGTGTAAATTTGTAAGATTAATGTTTGCGCAGAAATCAGTCGGTATTTTGAAAGAATAAATATTTTATTTGAAATTTAATATATTTTTTATTCAATGAAGTTTTTATGTTTGTACACGTGTTAGAAGAGTAGCAACTACTAAATTATTAACACAGCTCAGCTGTGATCAGATACCATTTACTATCGAGTTAAAAAGAAGTGTTTATAAATGCAATAAATTCAAAAGTGAATGCAGTAGTTTTATTAACTTCAAAAAATCTTACTATAGATACAAATCTTTTTAACTGTATTGCAGAGTCTTGACTGTATATCGATTTCATTTTTCACTTCAATAAATCACATAAATTTGATGATGGCTATAGTTTTTTGTGGTTATTGTCATAATTAATATTTTAATAGTTACATAAAAATAATAATATTTTAATTGGTAATAACTGTTTAATAACATAAGGAAATTGTAAGTCAAGACATCAAAAATTTACACTGAAATGTAACTTTTTGAAATGCATAAAATTTAATGCATTTTAGTTTTGAATTTATTGCAGAAAATAAACTAATATGATGTGCAACAAATTTACTAATAATAGACTAGAATTATGGAATTTACCTATTGTGCTCGTTACAATCTATTCATATATTTATAAAAGAAGTACTATATTATAGGTTTATTTGATCGTTAAATAATATTTGAATCTATATTTTTCTAATAAAATAAATTTTAATTTTTTTCTAACAAAGAAAAAAAGACTTTTAAACTTTATTGAATAATTTGAGTTTAAAATATTTACCCAATGCTCAACTTAAGTTAAATATAAATAAAATTACAACTTCCAGTGTATGAACGAAGTACTATTAAATAATAAATATTTTTAGTATTGTAGTCGAAATATTTTAAAATTTTTTGTGAATAGTATCTACAATCTTACTATGAAAAATTAACACATCAGCATTTGAATGCGAAGTTGAAGAAATAAAGATAGTATACTTTACCAGAACTTTACAAGATCAAAACTTCAACTCCGGAGATAAAAAAAAAAATTAAAATAAACAAAAAAACAATATGTATTACAATTATACTAGAAAAGAAGCTCATTACGTTCTGCATCAAATTATGCTATAGATTGGCTGCTACATGTTCCCATAACAAAGGTTATAGCAAAGCAATTACTCACAAAAGCCACAAAAAGGCTTGTGGCTACAGGACAATGGAGTGATTGTCGCCCATCCATTTACTACAAAGCAAAATTTACAGTTCCAAACTAACCGCTAAATTTGACACTTATAATAAGCAAATTCTAAAACTATAACACATAGCATGGAAGAATAATTTCATCTCCTATCAATATGAGAATATGAGAATACTCTATATGATACTCTATATTTACTCTATATGAGAATAGAGTAAAAGCATACATAAAATTAATTTGATCCAGTTGGAATAAAAGACGGGTAAATCAAATACAAAAAATAAGTACAGCATTTGTATCTGTACTCACAGGAGTAATATCGAAACTCTATATAGTATAATATGATATTATACGAAAAAATTAAGTTTGATACCATTATATTTAAGTCATAGTTGAGATTGTGTACAAATAGATTGAAATGTTAACAAAAATTTATATTTAAAAATAATATATATTCTAATGTAGGAATGCTTTCGGCAGATGATAAATAAATAAGTTGGCGAAAAAACACATAAATCAATAAAAATCCTGAGTACATCGATCAATACCTACATCCATATAACTGAAACTAAGCTATTTAAAACGTCGCATATGTCGCTTTTGAACATTTATCAAAAGTTACTGTTATGAATATATTAATATATCATGCGCGATATCAATAATCGCAGGATAACATTATAACATAATAATGTCGGTAGATACTTTTTCCTTAACAAAATTAATAAATTGTCAAAATTAAACAAAAAAATCGTTGCTCCCAGCTATATATAAAAGGGAAGGAAGTCCACGATAGGTCAACAACAGACCTAACTGTATCAACGATAGTCTGCAGACATATGTTATAACCTAAGATATTAATAACTTCTAACATATCCGTAATATAATTAAAAAGTTGTCAAAATTTATTAAAAAATAATTGTTTCTTTCCTTATACAAGAGGAAGGGAAGTCCACAATAGGTCAGCAACAGGGCTGCAGACATATTACCTAAGCTATTACACACTTCTAATATACCCCGCTATAAAAATGCTAATATTCTCAACGGTTTACTGTATACTAAAGTGCTAAATGTTAATAATTTAAATTTTAATTATAATTATCTTTAGTGTGTAAAAATTGATTCTTTGATTTGCATTTGACAAAGTACAAGTCAACTTCATAGTACTTGGAGTTTAAAAAATTGTTGAACAACAATCAAATTCAAGCATAAATCAAAGATCAATAACATTATTGATGGGTATTTGGTAATACACGAAACATTTCTTTGGTCCCTCAAAACTTCAATTAATTAAAGAACTAACATTTAAAATAAAAACTGCTTTATTATTTATATAAATTATTTTCTTTATAAACTTTATTAAGACTTACGCTATCAAAGTGAATTTCCAGTGGCGACGAAATACTAGGTTTGCCCAAATACCAGTCCACTGATGGACTGTATTCGTCCAATAGCTTAACAAGGCGTGGTACGTTAACATAATTGTCATCATCGAAGTGACAAAACCATCTGTAAAAAATAAATAAAAAAAAAATTAATTATTTTGTTAATGAAGAAAAAAATGTTTAACGAATAAATCTTATAAGACTTAGTTTAGAGAAGTTTGTCTGTGGCGGGCTAATAAATCAATTTTAAAGAAAAAATGAACAAATATTTTTATTATTTTTATTTAAAGCATAAATATGAAAAACGTACAAAGTTATTTTTAAAAATTTTGAAGAGAATTAAATTTAAGCTTATGAGCATCTTTTTCGAAACTAAATCTCAAGCGCAAAGTTAATCATTAATAACTTTTGCGGTTTTAAATAATTTTTGTTTCTCCTTTTTTGTCTTAAATTTATTTTCGCTTATGCTGCACGCTTCATTTAACCGACAAATCCGATTAGAGACAAAATTTTTGCAACATTTACTTAAAAGGAATTAAGGACTCGAAATTAGCAAAAAAACAAAAAAACTGGGAAGAAATTGAAGAAACACAGAATTCATCTTTTACGAGCTTAGCTCATAACATGAGCATAGTCAAGAAGTTAAACTTTTCATGTCAACTTAAAAATTTTAAATTTATTAAAAAACAACAACAAACGACAACAAATATAAACGAAACATCTGAACAACAAAGGGAAGCCGTAAGCCTTAATGTACCAATTTTGATAAAGGTGCGCTTAATCGCTGAAAAATATGTTTTCCAGTACTAACGCAATTTTGTAGTTCATGTGGCATTTATGTACCAAAATTTGTTAAAAAAAAGATTTCTTAATTTTTTCAAAGTAATTTGAGAGTTTTACTTCTCAGAAACTTTATTCTTTTCACATTTTTTATTATGATATTTTCTGTTTTATATTTTTTTAACCAGTTCAGAAATTTATGTTACCACACACTAGTATCGCACTGGTAATTTGCATAACTATTACCATAAGTGACACTTCCGCTGTAGCTCCACATTTATCAGTGGATCATTTTTATGCGGTTTTGCCATATCACATTTAAAACTTAATGAACTTATCAGTCAGTGAAAGAGCATTACGAGTACTCCACCGTCGACTTCACTGCGCATGCATATGTATATATTGTACTACAAATTAAAATCATAGAAATTTTGATTTATTCGACAGTGGCGGTGAATGTCTGCAGAAAATTATAGTCAACAATAATGATGGATGGTTATGTTTGCATACCCATATTATAGTAACCGGAAAACGTCAACATATAATAGTTTAAGACGACAAGCACAAAAAAGTAAGAATGCTATAAAAACAGAGCAATTCCACAAAAAGTGCTACTAATTACGCTTAAGTACAGTAGCAAAAACAGTTAATCGCGAAAAAGCAAGCACATTAATCTGGAAGGCATGTGGGCATTACAGCACAGTGTTGCCACATGTCCATCATTTGCCTCAGGCATATTCGTATGCATAGCCATTCACTAAAAGTACGGATAAGATACATAGCTTTTTTTTCGAGCTTATCCAAAGCGGATGCTGTAATTTAAATTTGCACTTGCTTTGATTTAAATTAATGCAAAAATACTGCAGTAGCAGTAATAGTGGCAGCTTAAAATGTTGCACGAAAAAATGTTGTCCATGGTGGTTACTTACACTGTAATTGTCAGCTTAATGCTGCAGTAATTACTTCAGACTGATCTGGTCTGAAGTGGCATGCAGGAAGCGTTTTTTTTTTTTTTTGTATGAAGTGGACGGTGAACGACAACCAAATCAGTGACGGCTAGCTGCATTAGCTTAAATTGGAAAAGACAGTAGAAAGTGGCAATTAATAACTAACAGTACTTACTTGATTTCTTCATAATTGCCAATTAAATAATAGAGTTGAAAGGAAGTTTGTTGCTACATTTTTATTGCCCAAATGCTTGGTTTATACTAATACTTTGAGTTAAAATGTGTATTAAAGTAATCAATTTTAAAAATTTATACTAAACTTTCGAATTTATTACAAATAGGTGATAAAAAAATATCTAATTTTAAAATTTACATTCTATAAAAGCTTTCTCTTCTGTAGATGCTTAGGGCCTGGGAGACTATTAACAAATGATTTCTTAATAGTGATCAATAATTTATCTGAAATGAATTATATTAATGAATTATCTGAATAATCTTATTCTAAAAGAAGTTCCGATATACAATAACCATTAATATACTAATAACTGCTATTAATGCTTGCTGCTATTAAAACTAAATATTTATATGTTTAAGCTAGACTGAACGCAGGGACCCACTTATAGAAACATTTCTAATACATTATAATTTTTAATACTAACTGAAAAAAAAAC